GTCACGGTGCGGTATCGGCTGTTGATCAAGTCCCAGTGCTGTATCTGGTGTTTGTCTCAACGCGCTATTATCCAAGTCATCTTGAAAACATTCTTCTTCCAAATGTTGGCTACATATTACGGGTTTTTTTCCTCAGGCCACCCTGGTGAGGGAGTTCCTGAGGGTTTAACATGTAGTGATCCCCACCAGAGTCTTCAACATCTCCACCAGCCACCTGTCCCCCCAACAAACCTCCTGGGTCTACAGGGCCCACCATGATGCGGCCACTCCTATCTACCCAGATATGCTTAAATTGTGGGACCCCCCTCCCAGACCCTGACCAGTTTTTGGCCCGCCTGTGGGCCTTGCCACCACAACCACAGTCCACCTACCTTGCTAGAAGCTACCCCTAGCTGTTGCATAAGCAGCCACACAGCATGGAGTCATGCAAGATAAAACCACTTGATGCTGGTCTGCTTTTATCCTCTCTAACATAGAAAGGATTCCCCCTCAGGAATGGATTTCTGGGCCCAATGTCAATCAGAGCAGATGGTTGTAAATTACTATCTTTAAGAATTATGAAATTGTGGTTCTGCTTGATCTGACTTTTTGTTAAGTGGTATTTTTCCTCTCCACTGTTACTACATGCATGCTCAGTTTACGGGTTGCTTCCAGTCAGCCACATAAATCAGGTGACTGTCCACTGCAGCTATATCCTCTTTCAGGAGTGAATTCTGCTAATCAGGGACTGGAAGCTCTGTTGGTTTACTTAGATAGAAAATAGAATAATTCAGATTCAGAGAGAAGATACAACTAATCTGTAAACCTTGTATATTTCACTGGCAAGTTATTTGCCACAAAGTTGAAGTTTTCTTCATCTGCAAAGAGCCTCCAATTAGTGCTAAACTAAAGGACTATTCTCAGTTTTTTAATGAGCAAATCAAAAAACGGGTCAGATTGACCCAGTATTCAAGGTGAGACAGTGGGAAACGTTCATTGAAACAAGATATGAAGTTAACGGATGCAGAGCTGTGGATCTGCAGGCTGCAGAGGCTGCAGGAGGGGGGGGCACCTCATCACTGACACTCCGATCCAGGTGAGAAAAACAAATCAGACAGGAATGTTATGGAATCCAGGAGTCCGCAGCGCAGTCAGGGGTTCTGATCCGAACAGGAACAGACAGATCCAGAGTTCCAGGAATCCTGAGAGCGTGAAGGCAGGTTCAGAGTTCCATGAGTCCAGCAGATGGAGACAGGCAGGCTCAGTGGTTGAGGGACAGAGAGAAGACATGGTACCAGGATAATTGCAGAACTTTCAACTGTACTCCACCTAGGAGCCACGACACAACCAGGAGACGAGACAAACTCCAAAACCCTCTCAACCCATTGGTCTCCGGGAAGGGAACACAAACCTGGGAATCCCTCGAACTAAAACTAACAAACAAAAATAAACGAATATAAAGCAACAGATGCAGATGCATATTTTGAAGGCTGCACTTTAAAAAAAAATAAAAAATCCAGTGAGCTGTTCCACACGAAATTTCTTTTTGTTTTATACTTGTGTAAACAAAATGACAAATAAATCTGTCTAAGGTGGATAGGATGAGGAATGACTAAGAACCAGGCACAGTCAGGCAGGTGAATGAAGTGAACTCTTAAGGTCAGGGGTCAGCTATCATGACAGAGCAGACCAGATTTCACATCTGATATAAAATATATGATTGATCAGACCTGAACCACTGAACAGAGACGGTCTTTAAAGCAATAGTCAACAAAAAAAGAAGGATTTTAAATTCTTAGTTACTAAGAGAACATCCTTAAAATGAGTAAAATTAATCCCACATTTGGACAAAAACCTAAACTGCATCGCTCAATATTAAAAACAGATTCTTCTGAAACTTTTTTCTATTTGGGAAAATTGTAATTCTGTCTTCTTCCAATTAATTCAGCCAATTCTATTCAGTTTATTTCTATAGCTCCAATTCACAACATATCATCTCAAGGCACTTTAAGGTTCACCAGATCATCCAGTCAGATTGATTCAAAGTTTTCTATCTAAGGAAAACCAGCTGATTGCATCGACTCATTGACTCTTCAGCAAT